CACAAGTAAGAAAGCCGCGAGAATCTTGTCCGACAATCTTATCGCTTACAATCGTCAGCATCGTAAGCAGCTGCGATATAGGCATTTAACGAAACGAATTTTAGGGTCGGTAAAATAACGTGTAGCACAAGTTTACCTATAATATTGGTTATTTATTGTAGAAACAAATGTAATGCGTTACATCGTAGCAGAGGTTTAACGCGCGCGTAAACTTTGAGACAGAACAAGCTCGATTTTTTTGGCTACTTTTATTACGCTGGAAGGAAAACTGACGGGTCAGAGCCTCGAACGTTTGGTGAATATGTGTGGTGATACGGTTTAAGAAAGTCTGCGACCCATCCCAGCCCACAGAATCGTCATTTACGGTGAAAAAGGACGAATGAAGATTTAAATGCAGAAAAAATGAAAGCCACGTACAGGGCATAAATAGACGCAGATAGACTCGCTTGAGTTTGCGCAAAGCAGTGCAAACAGTAAAAGGACAACGATGAGAGCGGCATTTGTAATCGTACTCTAGCACGCGCAATCGAAGCTCACTTTGCTCCGAGAAAAGGTCAATGAAGCGATTTAGCATGCGAATCGAGGTCACGATACATCGGCAGAGCCACTGATACTGGCGGCTTTAACGGGGTTTCCTAATTAGCCCGATTCGCCGTAGTGCTGTTGGCTTTCACTGCGCACGCGTCCGTTCAGACTTTGCCAATTTGCCGATCAACCTTGGTTCGAGTCGCGACGACGCGACGTACGACTCTGTACGTCATCGATTTTTCTGGTGGTGCGTTTGAAATGTTCGGCGCATCATCAGCACTAGCTTGTCGTCTTGCCGATGACGCATGTCGCCGTTGTTGGCTCTACAGATCGTTCCCTCGAACGAGCGCGCTCAGCACTCGTTTCTTCTTCTTGCATCTGTAAATGGTCGACGACTAGTCGCGCAAACAGTGTCCAGTCAGTGCACCTGAGATATGCTGTATTCGATTAACAAATGAACGACCAAATAGAAATATCAACGAACCTTCTATTTTTACCGAGGCCTGCTGTTGTGCTCTCGCGATACAAACTACCGCGCGGTCGGGACATCGATTAGCACTTATCGCTACTCTGCGCGCCAAGTACTGCGATCAACGGACAGAGCCGAGGATGCGAAGAGCGTCAAATTGAAAGTATCCGTTGGCGCGTAGTTCAAATATCTATATGGCTCGATCTATTCTCACTTGAGTAGATATCAATGAAAACGCCGAGCCTTTCATCGTGATGTATTTCTTTTAAGACTTTCATGTTTTCGGAAGCCTTTGGTTTCCTTGTAATCCAGATGATGGATTTTAATATGAAAATTACTCGTCGGACAGTTGAATGACGTTGAATTGAGTATTTCTGGCATGTCAAAATAAGATGCCGTAAAATCGAATTCATCCAAAGCAACATACGAAGCAATAATTCGATTGCAAGTCAAGAGAAAACGACAAGTGTTGCGGGGCAACGACAGCAGATAACTGTCGAATAGCAGCCACTCAAACTCAGCTCTGGTGAGCCAGAAAAGCTATCACGATTAGTTCTGAGGCCTGAAACTTGACTGAAGGGTAGCCTAGCTATACATTTTATGTAGAAAAGTGTATATTTAGGTCAGCGTAGCGTTGAAGCTACTGTTATATCCAGTCTTTTTGAATAATCGTCAAAGGGTCGAAACAGCTATCAAGTATCGATGCAAGCACAGCTTTCGCGTGTGAACAGACACGAGCGTACCTCGAAAATTGTATATTTTGTGGTATCTCTCAGCTTCAATAATTACAACAATTATTTTTGGTTTTTCGGTTGGATCTGCCTCGGCAAGAATGAACATGCAAACGAATGAGCTTCTATAGCTGGTGGAACGCGCGGCTTGCTGCGCTATCATTTGCAGCGAATCAAGCAAGTCCATTGCCAATTCTTGAGGAAAATGTCAAGTGAATAAAGGCCAGCCGGCGACGGGAGCCTCGGCCAAGGCCGTCATCTCGTATTACCGCTAGCCGCTACTGCCATGTGACGTCAGCTGCATCTACTAATTTTATTGTTCATACTTACCACACAACTGTTGCTCTACTCGTCAAAGCTAGCTGCTATATGGACAATGTTCACACGATCACAGCGGCTTGCAAGAAAGTCGGTCGGTGCTCGATCCTCCGAGCTGATCATAATAGCGTAATAGCTATAATACTGCTGGCTTTCGCGCTTGCAAGCTTCTCGTGGCCTGATTCGCGCTGACATTCGTTTTCGTTAAACTTGGACTAATTTCTCAGGTGTTTACGATTTTGACGATTAGACGTGAAGCGATTCGAGAGCTGTATAGCTTGCGGCCAAACATTAAACGAGCGAGCGCCCGTGTATGTCCGCATTGTACACGGAGCATGACTTTATTCATTTGGCAGAGCTGCCAATTTATTAACGTCCGATGCTTGACCGTAGGCTTGTCTCATCGTTCTATTAATTCAATTCTTTATTTCGACGTGGCTGACTGACTCGGGCCGCTTTAGTCTGCAATTGCGCGTATACCTATGCGAGTATTACGTAGGCTCGGCGTGACAAGAAGAGGAAGGGAAGCTTTCGTTGATATATCTTGAGTCGTAACAAGGACAATGCATTTTCGCTTGAAAAGTCTTGGACCGAAGATGCGTATAAGCACGTTTGCGTTCGAACTCTCGTAAACGTTATAACTCGTGCACAGTTGCCATAGAATCCAACTGCGCGGCAATAAACGACAGAATATCGTCGGATTTATTAATAGTTGCTCGACGATTGGAAGGAGTTTTCTATGCAAAGCTCGACGCAGATATCCGCGTCGCGTATTATATCGACCCGCATCATACGGATAAAGCTGTTTACCAAGACTTCAAGTTCCTTTCGACGCTTCGAATATCGTGGCATTCTTGCGTGGGCATCAGCTGAAAGCCACAGGCGAACTACATATTTTTATATATAAACGCTGCACATTATTTGGCTAAAATAAAAGAAATCTCAAGATTGGTAAAAACCGCGCAATGAGTCTAATTAGCGCTTATTGCACAACGAAATTAGCATAATTTCTTGAAACGGATTACTTTTAATTTAGCACAGAGATGCGGCGGTCGATGCAGTATAGGAAATGCTCGTTGCGCGTGCGTTCGTCTACTCTATTTTCTCATGTCACGTCGAGATTTTGTGTTCCTTCTGCCGCTTGTATATGTGCATATGACGACTGCATGCAATCTATTGCCTACCTGTACAACCATATGCCGTACGTCCGATTGCCGGCAAATCCAACTGACTGCGTGCCCTTTGTACGCTTGGTCAGCTTTATTTGCGAGTTTTCATTCATGTTGGCGGACGTATTGCGATATTTTTTAATTTTTCGAAACCGATCCGATGTATATTTATGTTTTGCTGTAGCTTCGTTCAATTTCAATAATCTTGATATACTGCTAGATAAGCTTCTTATTATTTATTGATTTGAAACAGGCTATATATTTCATTATTATCGTTGTGTGACAATCAAATTAATTAACGAGTTTTACATCCAGAAAAACTGTTTTGTATACATATTTGCCATTGAGTAGAAGTTTCTTAGATATTCGCTAGTTTATTCGATCGCCTAATGGCTAACTTAATTTTTTTAGATTATTTTCCAAATTTTGTAAGGCTGCCTTCTTGATTTTTAATTCTAGTGCTACCTAAAAGTATAGTGCTCGATACTACCTTAACAATTATTGCACGAGAAATCCGCAGGAGATTCAAAAACATATAGACTGTGCAAAAAATGGTGCTTATTGAAAGTGCATATGCACATGGGCGCGTGCGTGTGTATACAAGCATAAAGCCACATTCACAATAGAACGCTCGAATGTGCGACATCAGAGTTCACTATCAAAGTAAAATAAGAAAACCAACCCAGCTGGGTCTTTAAAAAGAATAGAAAATACGTAAATGTGGATACAATTGAGCTCAATCATTCAATATCCAACATAAAAGTAATCTCGCTTGTGCAATAAATACGGTGTCACCTCTAGTGTTACCTAACCTCGGAGCCTGTGGCTCTATGATGTGAGAGGAGGGAGGTGAAGTGTGCGCAAGTCGACAGTGTCGCCACTCCACTCTAGTTGAGGGAGGTGCAACGTGACTGTGCGTCGTCAATGGTGATTGGTGGTTGGTTGAATGGTCGGTGCCTCACAGCCCGCTTGTGACGCTGGTGCTGGTGTCGTTATTAGCTATATTATCGTCATCCATCCGGCAGCATTGAGCAGTCCGGCGTGTGCGTGTGCGGTATCTTGTTCGATTACGTCCTGCCAGATAGACTATGATCCAGTATATCTGCCACTGATTCAAGAGTATTAGCAATTAATAATTGAGAGGACAGTTGTCAAAAGTTTACAATTAGTTCCGTTCAAAAGGCCTGTGATTTGCGAACTATAACCTTTCTTCGCATCCTCGCCGCCGGTTTTCTGTCAGTCTCTCTCCCCCTCCCCCACTCCTTCGGCGTCCGTGTGTGAGTTACGTGCGTATGTGTATGCGCGTGGTGTGTTCTGTGCGCAGTGTAGCCGCCCAGTCTCGACGATGCGGCCAATTCTTACCTATATGCATGTACGCACCGAGTTACTTTAACCAAAGACTGACGAGAATATTGAATAAGGATAGAAGCCCTTAACTCTCATTCGAAATTTATATGTGCGGAGCAGCAATTAATTAGCTCTTGTCACACGAGACAGAAAGAACGAAACATCTATGCGCATATGCATAACGGCCTCTGCATATACGTGTGAGCGAGCACGGATACACATGAGTTAGGGGACGTGCGACCGCCTGCTGCTACTGCCTGTTTCTCTCCAAGCTACTGCTTACTGTTGTCTGCGAGAACAAGAACAGAGAATAGCATATCTGTGCTGCTGCTACGAGATAGAAGGAGAGATATATCCTCTTTCTTACTTTACTCTTTTCCTTCGACTCTCGTTCACTTGCCGCTAGTCGTTTTACTTGGGTTCCCGTTTATTGCCTGTCTTGTGCTCCTTGGCCCTTTCTCTCGCTCTCTCTCTCTTTCTTTTTCCCTCGCTCTCTCTTGCTTTCTCTCATTCTCTCTCTCTCTCTCTCTCTTTCTTTCTCTTTCTCTCTCTCTCTCTCTCTCGCTCTCTCTCCCCTTTTATATTCATTTTCCCTCCCTCCTGCTCTTCTCGACACCAATCGCCTCTCCGGCTATGTAGTGTATATTGTCAAGTATATAACTGTGTGCAAGCCAGCAGACAGAAAATACTCGCCGCCGTCGCCACTTCCATCGCCCTTTCTCTCTTTCTTGCTGGTTCGCTGCTCTGGTAGTCTGCGACTGTGACCCCGGCCTTCACTGTCTGCGCGCTCGGCTCGCAGTTTCAAGTGTTTCTCACGTTCACCAGGACTAGTGATTGTGCGTGTGTCTTTGTGTCTCTGTGCCTGTGTTTGTTGCTAAGTAAGGCTGCACTCTACTTGCCTGGTCCTGTTGTCAATTTAGCATTACTTCACTGAATAGCCTAGTGCAGTCATTGCATGTTGAGTGTGGAGAGCTCAGCCTGACAATAAGTTCCAAGATCATTGTCAAGCCTCATTACTGTACTGCCAACTTAGTCTCTCAGGACAAACGTATGTGTCAATCGAGTCATTGGTCGCACTGGTCATTCTTTGCAGCAGCACTGATGTACCTGGCCAAGCTTCTATCTCTTGAGGACTTGTCTTAACTACTCTCCCAAGACCAAGTGCAGAGAGTGTGATGCCTGGCAGTAGATCCAGCACTGACCCAGAGCACAAGTCTCCAAGGGAAAGCGGCGAAGATTCAGAGGATGAGAGCGAAATTTTGGAGGAAAGCCCCTGCGGGCGGTGGCTTAAACGTAGGGAAGAGGTAAGTCCTCCTTATCCTTTCTTTGTACTAAATATCATCCTTTACAGTTCAATAAACTTTGCTTTCTGTAGTTCATTAAACAGTTACTTTGGTGTAGCTCTAGAAAGACTATGTTTTGAATATTTCATGATACAGCATACAATTCATGATCAAACTTATAATGGGTTGCTATTGAGCAGACTGAATATTTATTGTTTAACGTTACCTGTGACTCATAACTAAAAATTAAAATGGCTAAGTTGGAAATTTCATGCTTAAATTATTCCATGTGTGGGGAGTGATTCATCAATAGAGAATTGATACCTTGATGTTTTAAACTCTGGTATTGACAATATTTTGCTATACCTGTTTGTTTTGTTTTAATGAAAAACTTTCTGACTCTTCTTAGTTATCCTATAGTTTGATGAACCTTTTTAAATAAATGTAGAAGGTACTAGAAATTTTTTATTATTTGTTTTTAGTATTATGAAAATTGTTTCCAATTGTTTTGTAGGTTATATCTTTTAATAACCATGGAAATTATTGTTATAATAAATATGTTTGACTAAACAATAATTCATGTTACGCTAATATAATTCTTGAAAACCTAAAATTTACAAAAGTGGAATGTATAATTAAAATTTAATATTGAAATGTGCATATGATTAACAAAAAAAAAATTTTTTTTTAATGTTGCATAAGACTCCATGCATTATACATATATCAGTCATTTTGAAATGATTTTCAAACTTGCTGTGCTTGTGCTTTTAAGAAATCAGTTTTAAAAAATCTGATTAAGTTGTATCAGTTGCAGTATAATGAGAAAGCAATAGATAGATTTTTACTATGGTTTGACTGACAAAGTTTAGTAAAACACTCAATAAGCTATTTAATGAAATGTCAGAAGGCATTCAGGAAGATTGGTGTAATCTTAGTTTTTATTAGATGATGCTTCTGTGAAATAATAAATCATATAGATAGAAAATAAATCATACATCTCAAAGGCAAGAAATCAGTTTTCAAATGAAGCTTGACTACTCATTCGAGCGTCCCCCCCCCGTCCCCCAAACACACACCACATAAACACATTACCCTTTATTTCTAATCTAAAATCGGGGTGGAAGAAAAAATAAAAGTAATTTTCTCGTTTAAGCACGATGTTAGTTTGTCCAAAAATATTTAACCTATAAAGAGAAGGTCAACAAAAAGCAATGCAATGGCAATAAGTAATAATCTTGTAGGGTTGTTTGAAAGCAACAATGGAGATTGAAAAACTTTTGCGCACACAGAACTGCTTGATCATGAATAAATGAATCACACGTTATCTCTCGGTTGCACGCAAAAGCTTTTTATCTGCGATAAAACTACAAGAGCAATAAGTTAATTGAACTGTTTACCGTTAGAAACGGTGTTTTATTGCAAAATGAGCGCCGCAACAAATAGGTATGGGTGGTTAAAAAACGGATAGGCCGCACTTGCCAAAAAGAAGTTGATCGTCGGAAGAAGAAAAAAACAGATGTTTGTCGAAAGGAAATTGCAACACAAGCGGCGCCAAGTTCTAAATGACCACGTCATTCGTCAGAGAGACTTGGCACTGGCGAGCTTTTCCGAAGCGCTTATCGCTAAAAATAAATGATCATCGCTTTGATTCGCAAAAACTCGCATCGCCTCGCAATCATCATGTCAGTGGTCAGAAAAGTCAACAAATAACGCTGTCCGTTGATACCCGGCAGGTATACGTAGGTTCGAAGTCGTCGACGAGTATGAGCAGCAGCGCCGTGGTCGTCGTCGACAACGAGGCTTCGCTGGCCGAGTCGTCGACCAAGGTAAAGCAAATAAATGCGAATTCGAGACTTGAGCAGTGCCGCTATCGGCGTACTGCTTCGTCCCCTTTGCCTCTTGAACGCCGAGCCAGGAAGGAAAGTGAGGAAGAAGAAGCACAATGCTGGGAAGAAAGCGAACCGAGCGAATCAATCGAGCCAAAGACTAATCGTTATTTGAATGTACGGGGCTGAACGAGGCGCCTTGCCCAGCTGCGTTGAGTGCCGGGCGCAAAATGAAATCGCTGACCCACGCTCCGGGCGGTCCATTCCCCTCCGAATAGCGTAGCTAAGCCGCGCGCCGCCGTTCAAGTGCTCGGCAAGGTCGCATCCATGTCAGGGCAAACGAGCACGAGTGCACTCCGACTGCGCGTTCTTTTAGCGGGTGGCTCGCGGGCCCCAAAGCAATTGAAACATTTGCTTTGCTTGACTGTTGCAGGTGGCGCAACAGGATCTACCGGGCATAGACTGCGCCTACCTGGCCATGGATACCGAGGAGGGCGTGGAGGTGGTCTGGAACGAGGTGCAGTTCTCCGAGCGCAAGAACTTCAAGGCTCAAGAAGAGAAAATACAATTGGTCTTTGAGAACCTCACTCAGCTCGAGCACCCGAATATCGTCAAGTTTCATCGGTACTGGACCGATACACACAATGACAAGCCACGAGTGAGTTGCAACAGAAGCTATGCTTATTGACTTGTCTAGTATTCGCAGACGCCAGTCTGGCAGCCATTGCCAACCAACGTCTAAATTTACGCGAGAAAGCGATAGCTGCACGCACACTTGCGAGCTGCTTTCTATCGAACGTACCAAGGCTACCGTGCTCCCGCTGCCCATCACCGACTCATGCAAATGTCCGATTGTTTCGCAGGTTATTTTTATCACGGAGTACATGTCGTCGGGCTCCTTAAAGCAGTTCCTAAAGCGAACAAAGCGCAACGTCAAGAAGCTACCGCTACAGGCCTGGAAACGATGGTGTACACAAATTCTTTCTGCACTTAGGTAATCGACGCTTACTGAAAAATAAAGAGAGAGAGAGAGAGAGAGAGACAGCCAACTTATACCCCCCATTAAATCTGCATAGTCGGACTCGTTGATCGCTCAGTTCTATATTTGGTACCCTTAAAAAAAAAGAAACTCTTTTTTGCACGTGTCGATTTCTACTGCATTCTTCCACACGCCTTGTTCACTTCTAATTATAGACCCGTCAACGCGTGCTTTCAACAATTACTCGTGCGTTTTGTGTCTGTACATTGTCCTTTCTTCTCTGACTTACATTTTTTCTGTCTCTGAATCGATGATTTTTTTTCTTTCGTTAACAACGCTCAATGTGTTTTTACAGTTATTTGCATTCCTGTTCACCACCCATCATTCATGGAAATCTTACTTGCGATACGATATTTATACAACACAACGGTCTAGTCAAGATCGGCTCTGGTGAGTTTTCAATGTTTTTATTTCTTGTTGATCCTATATAGCTTTTATTTCAAGTATTGTTGAAAAATGTCGTGGATAATACGCGGACTGCTTGCGAAATGTTGGTACTCAATCTATGTATTTAGTGTCATATTTTTTATTTGTCAATTAGTTATGGGTAGCTCATTTATGTCCATAAATTTCTTGTTAGTATAATCGTCTGCTCTACTGTTATGAGTAACTTGAGTCCAAATAATACTCATTAGATTAACATTCAAATATATTGTACCTATACATAAAACCATAACGCAGCAAAAAATCTTCAAAGATCCCTGAGAAGTGGAAGCAATAAACATGACTGCATCCCGAAGACGTGTTCCTGAATAGAACAACCGTCACGGAAGATTCGCAATATAGAAGATTATCAAAAATAGTCTGAACACCTGGATATTAGCTAAGTAATGTGCGGCAGCGAGGTATCAGCTAAACTGATAAGCTAAACATTTACATTTGCTTTGTGTATAATTGTTTGTCTGTTTTTTTTTTTTATTAATAATTGATTACGATTTGATTTTTCTTAGTTGAGAATCATTTATGTGTTAGGGCTCAAGTTACTCAACATTTTATTTTTTAATTTAATGAACAGAGATTGAATGAAAAATCGTTTTTCATCATACATTTGTGTTTTATTGATTTTTACTTTCTTTCAGTGGCGCCAGATGCAATTCATCAACACATAAAAACTCATCGAGAAAATATGAAGAATATGCATTTCGTCGCTCCAGAGTATGGAAGTGAGTATAATTTATTTAATTATAATAATAATTAACTTTAATTCTTACTAAAAAACTCAGTTAATGAAATTATTTCTGTTTGTTTGTTCAACATAATTACCTTCATTCCGAATGAAAGAAAATTTTTAAAAACTAATGAAATAGATATTCTAATTTAATTTTGCTGATGGAAATTATGTATGTATGTTTATAGATTCAGTGACACCAGCCATCGACATCTATTCGTTCGGTATGTGTGCATTGGAAATGGCTGCGTTAGAAATCCAGGGAAACGGAGAGAGTGGTACTGTTGTCACAGATGAAAACATTAACAAAACCATTGAGTCGTTAGATGATGCACAGCAAAAAGACTTTATCAGGAAGTGTTTAGCCTCAGATCCAATGAGTAGACCGAGTGCAAGGGAGTTACTTTTTCATCCTGTGCTATTTGAAGTTCATTCTTTGAAGCTACTTGCTGCACACGCTTTAGTCAATTCAGCTAGTAAGTTTTCTCTATTTCATTGTAATAAGTTATTTCATGAAGAGACGTGCTCATGTTATATTTCGTTTTCTTAGCAAATATTTCTGAAACTATAACAGACGAAGTATTACAAAGGCTCTATGGGCCAGATACCATTGTGGCAGAGATTCGATATCAAAACAGGCCTCCGCATCAAGTTCGTTTTAATGATATACCCGTACCAGAAAAATTAGAAAAATTCGTTGAGGACGTAAAGTAAGTAAATTGTTTTCAAGCTCTCTGACAGCGGAAATTGTAAAAAAATTTAAGTAATAAATAAATAATAATGTTCTATCTGTCTATTATAATACTAATTACTTTTAGGTATGGAATTTATCCATTAACTGCATTTACGGCTAAGCTTCCGCCGCCCGTACGGCCCAGGGCGATTTCTCCAGAAGTCACTGAATCAGTGAAATCTGTTACTCCAGAACCAGTCGATGTGGAGTCTCGTAGGGTAGTTAATATGATGTGTAACGTTAAACCTCGTGAGGAGAGCTGTGAATTGCAAGTGAGTGTTTTTTCAAATGTTAGATCTGTTTATTCTTTATTGTAAAATCAATCCTAATGGTCTTTAAATTTTAGATGACAATATTGTTAAGAATGGATGACAAAATGAACCGTCAGTTAACTTGTCCGATAGCACAATCAGATTCATCGATGCTTCTTGCACAAGAACTTGTACACTATGGGTTCATCAATGAGGTAAACACATGTGAATTAAAATTCATCGTCAAATTATATTCTCAGCTTTGTCTTTCTAGGTTCTATATAAATATCAAGATCTTGTTTATCTATACCGATCATTATTTATAACTTTTACAATAGATCAATATCAATTTACAAGATATTCCGTGGTTAATCTATTTTGATCTTGTAAAAGCTTTTCGATAAGGATTCTAAAATTTTCAGATACTTATGTAGTGTAGATCAAGTAGGAATCTGCAGTGTTTCATCTTATAAAGCCACTGAAAAAATTATAAATTTAAGCGTTTATTTAAGGTTATTGTTATAAAAAGTTGAATATTGACAAAAAGTTTAAGACATTTATAAAAATATTTTCCGTTGTAGAAAATATAAAAACTTGTTATATTTGTAGATACATTTGTCTTTCTCTGATCTCTGTAACAGTTTAATATTATATTGCATTCACTCATTTAGTTCATTACGAATAGCCATCATCATAATTCTTTCAGATATGACTTTACAATAAAAGAATATCTGACTTTTTTCAGAATGACCGTGATAAGATAGCAAACTTAATTGAAGAGGCATTACGTGGCTGTATAAGTAAGCAACAAATGATGAGTCCAAATCTCGTGTCACTTGCAAATCTTCCCAACCAAACTACGCTGCTGTTACCGGGTCCCGAATTTTCTCGTTTACAGCGTCTTGAAGATGTAAAAGAGCAACCACAGTTTTCAGCACCTCAGAAGATGGTCGAACCAGTGACAAGGCCACAACAAGAGCAGAGGCAGTGCGAGCCTCACACAATTGAACCTCAAACAGTAGTGAATGATGGTACCAGTTAACTATCGGCTGTTACTCATCGCTTCGCTAAGTCTCGACTTCACTACTGTGCCACTTTGCACGCTCCATGTATAGACTGGCTATGTATTTTTATATTTTAAGTAAGATAATCATGAGAGAGAAAATGAGAATAGAAAAAACAAAAATAGCAATGAGTTCATACGAAATGTACAGGGAACATGAAAATGTTGCACAATACCTTGATTTATAGACAGTTTTTCAATTAATAATTGAGTGTACATAGTCGACAGCAATGATGAAGTATTTAATTAAACCTGATGCAAAACGTTAAAGCTCTGAATTAACTAAATTTTTCTGTTCTCTCTGCAAAAGACAAAAGTCCGTTATTATTTGATGACTGTTTATAGATTGAAGATATTAAAATTTTTCTAATGAAACTTGTTGTAAAAGAAAAGAAATGAAAGAGACCCCATTGTTTGTTTCGTTTTAGTTTATGTATTAAGTTTTTTTATACAGAGAATTTATTTCTTCCTTTTCCAAATAGTCAATAGATGTAAGTCAGACTCGAAGACCGTGAATAAAGGTTCAAAAGGTTTTAATTTTCGATCTGGCAAAAGAAAATTTTTAAAAACCAATGAAATAGACTACCGATAAATATGTCATTGATCATTCTTCCAAATGAAATATATTAAAATAAGAATTGCTTTACGCATTTACAAGATTAAGTTAAATATCAAAAGTTCACTTCATAAAATTATGAAAAATTTATTAAACTACTGCAAATCGATGATGTATATTTTTTATTTATTGATTGAAATCAATTTACGTGAAAAAATATGTAAATACATGTAGGTATGTCTTGTTTTTTGTTGTAAATTTTCTAAATCGAATATTTCAAAGAAGTTTTAAGCTATTCCTTGGCATATATTTGAAATGTTGTTCGATTTTTAAAATACTTTTCTCTAACGTCTGTTTATAGTATTTTGACAGCTTAATGGTACACGAGCTTATTATAACTACTATAAAAATTATTAAATTCCATGGAGAAAATGTAATTGAAATTAAAAAAAAGGTGCTGCTCTGAGTCATAGCAGAATAGTAATAGGAATGAACTGAACATATTTTCAAGAGTTTATTTGTCGATAAATAAGTGTTACCTGCTTCGTTTTTTAAAATGAGCCTTGAATTCGAATATATTGGTCGAACTTGCACAGCTATCCTGCAAATCTTTTGCGCTTTGGAAATGATCCATATGTACATGATGCATTGATAAAATACCTATAAATAAACAGTAATAATTTCCATAGTTTATGCAAAAATTAAACAAATTTAATATAATGTTATAACCATATCTTAAAATGATAAAAAATTAAGATGTGCAAATTGTTTCGTTCCAGTACATTGATTGTAAAGTATACCTTGCAAATATGCGGCTTTGTGCCGTCTTTGTTTTTTCATAGGGAATTTAAAATAATAATGATAATACTAGTAACAAATATGATAAAGTAATAGTAATAAAAAAGAGGAAAGATATAAATAAATCGAATTAATGGATCGTCATAATTCAAGTCTCGCACAAAATTTGTAAGAAAAAGTGAAACCCTCTTTGGCCAGCGGTGCGAGTCGGTCTAACTAAATCACTTGAAATGATAGACTAAAAGTGAAATGAATTAAAAAAAACCAAAAATACCACAAGTATCTCGACAAATAATTTTCACGGCAATAAAAATTGCTGACAACAAAATAAGCCATTAGGAGTGATGCAAACTTGGGTATTATATTTGATGTGATGCAACCAAGGTTATTAAAAGGTGTCTCTTTTTTATTTGTCTCTTCCTATTTATCCGACAATAGGAGTCATTATTAATTACTAAAAATAACCGAAATGAATTTTAATATTTGAGCCGGTATGTTTTTGGATCGCTCAAGTTTTTTTTAACGAAAGTCAATTTTCGAAAATAAAATTTTAACTTACACCAATGACCCTTCAAAAGATAGAAAAATGGTCATTTCATGGACATTTTTAATTTTGATTTAATTTAGAAAATAGCAATGACAATCTGTTAAAATTATTTAACATTGCTGTAAATGATTGCATCTATTGAGGCGAATGAATATCGAGACTAATAATATTCATAACTAAACAGTAATTCTTCGAATTAAAAATAAAACAAAATCAAGGATGTAAAAGGAAGAGGCACGGAAGGAAGGAGATCTGTGTAAATAATTATATTTTTAAGAGAATCTGTCAACACAGAAAACTAGTCATGTAGTTATATTCGAGTGCTAAACGAAATAACACACCAACCTTGTTACGTATACTTTGCATTTACACAAACACGCGCTTGGCCAAGACGGGAGAGATTGATGCAAATAATTAAAAAAAAAAAAAAAATTGCGAAATAACAAGTGCGATGAAGTAAACGAGCAAGTGAGCAAGCGGATGTGAATAAACACTTTTGAGCACACGAGCGAGTAGAACGGAGAGTGAATGAGAAAATAAGAGACGTATTACTCCATTTTCATACTTCTGTTAAAAGAAAATTGTCGCAGTTTCATAATGAAATAGAATAAGTAAACAAAATAAATCACAGAAAACTCCTTGACGATGCTATGTAATTATTCTGTTATCCTTACTTCATGTTGATTTTCAACGTAGAAGTGAGCATTGCGAAAGTTTTCGGTCCGTAGATTTGTACAAGATATTGAATGGCAAAGTGGAGTTACACAATAATATATAGAACAACGCGTTAGCGAATAACCAGAATGGATATCGGATGTGTAGAAGGTATTGTTGATCAAATAATTCGGCGACGATGAAAGAACAATATCTAGATTAGCAAGGAGTAAATAAAAAAAGCGACAAAAGTGATAACTGAAATAGAATAACGTAAGCCAGTAGTGCGTTTGCTTTTAATATCCTGTCTATATTTTTTTCTCTTATTTATATACGGTACAGTGTTGGATGTTTTACAGATCACAAAATTTATATGAAAACTTTTTTATACATGGAAATGAGTGTCACGCTAACAATTGGACAACGAAGGAATTTTTTGAATGATTATTGAAATCGATGTTGAACTTTTTTGATTTTTGTCATTTTATTTACAGCAAGCAGGACGTACACGTATCGATCGGAGTAAGGTTACAATATATTTTTGTACATAGTTGCTATATTTTTAATCAAATATTATTTAAAAATATGATATTTAGACCATTTGATGTAGATAAAAACGATATTTTATACTCAATCATTGTGGAAGCAAAAGATAATGAAGATGTGTGTAAGTGAATTTGCTTAAAATTCTCCTTTGATACAGCAATATTATATTTACACTTTCAGATACATCAATTTTGTTCACACGCTGATTTCAATAATGTTATTCGAGATAATTTATTAAATTATCGTCGCTTCAGTGGCATTGAGACGTACGTCAATATTAAATAAATAAGTAAATAAATAATGAGATAAACACAAAATTTATTCATTTCCGAAACAAATGAGAATCGTTGATGCAATCCCACTTTCGAATTAAAGACACATTGTTGGAAGCAACTCTGCCGGTAATCGATTTTATCTATTTTTATTTATTATTTATATAATTATTATATACGTAAAAACCGCGCAAAGATTCTTTTCCTCGTGTATAATAAATCAAATATGTTCCAAAGTCATTGTTTTCGTATTTTAAAAGCTATGTTCAAATTTAACAAGTTTATTCCATTGTCAATTTTAATAAAATTCAATGCGTTAAATAAAAACAATGCTTCTTCTTATTTTATATTCCTACAGCGATGTCGACCAATGAAAAAAAATCTAAAGAAATGTGAGATTTTTCTCGGCATATTTTTTACGCATAGTGCATGTATGTACACTCAAATTACTTTTCTCAACTTGGAATATTTACCAGACATCCTCCCTGATCCGGTCCAGCAGGTAATCGAGGTCAAGTGATCATACGATCGAGTACGATCACTTGACCTACAATATGTCCATACAAAGCTTAAAATCAAGTTTACACGCAAGTTTTTCATAAAGATTCACCAGCATAGCGTCGACATTCTTATGATAATGAGATTAACACTCCCAATTTTGGACGCGACCCACCAAACTCGCCAATTCCTCAGTTATCGCGGTTTTCCCTATTATCTAAGTTGAATAGCAAGTTGCAGTCATTTGGTAGGGGTGAAATTCGGCAGCACGGAATCATTATAGAATATAGATCATTAGAATACATGATCGCAGATCAGACTTACTGCATGCTCGAGGGGGATGGCCAAGTCGACTGGTTGCTGGTCATTGTCAAGATTAATGTCGTCGGCTTGTGATCGGTGCGCGGCGCTGCTGATGACGATGACTATTCTTTCACCAGCTCTCTCTCTTTTTTTTTTCATTGACATTAAAATTTTCATTTCGGGATGTTTTTACTCTAGCTGATATTGCATTTATAAATGAGTATATATGCGCGCACATACGAGACGAAAGCTCTCTCATCGCTAAACGCTGTGGGATTCCGTTGGAAATTCCATTTTCTACGTTATTTGGACTGTATAGCGGCTCGCTAGAGTCATGAGCTTTATACTTGTGTAATTTCAACGAAATTGCGTCGTACAGAGAGTTGTTGAATCAGCGTATTGTCATATTTAAGAAATTATTAGTTGATATCCGAAAAAAATCATGGTTATTCGGAAATTCATAGTCAGATTTTCATGTTTTCCATCGTATTGAAATCGACATTAAAAGCGAACATGGATTGCATTGATTGAAAATAATCACTGTCTTCAGCCTTTGCAAATCAATCTTTGAAATAAAGAAAATGAATAAATCATAGCAACTTCACTGTAATTCACGTGTACAAATTGTAGGTTGTCCGACAGCTCTGCGAACAAAGCCGCAGCTATATAGTATGACGCATACGTAGCTTTCATCTGCTTTGAGGCACATTTACTGTTAGATTCGAACTATGGTTTAAATGTGTGAAAAACGGAGGTGACGACTTCCCCATCCATAATGTACATCGCTAAAAGTAAAAAACCTGTAGGAAGCAAAACTGACGGAAAAAGGTACCGTTATAGCAGCCGTCGTCGCTAAAGCTCTCTGTTAAAGGCCGATTAGCCATTAAAACTTGAATACTTAGTCGCAATTCATTTGATCTCAGTTCATTTAGATGTTTTCCGTAAATCTAACCGAAGAAAACTGGCCACTCCAAATACAATTGCACAATGCATTGTTAGCTTTAATTGGCGAATACTTGGTTGAAGCATAAAATTTTATGAATAATGTTTTAGGTGTACTGACACATTCGCAATGAAAATGTTGTCGAAAACGCAAGTCCACAGTGCGTATAAGATTTGGCTAGGAGAGCAAGTCTATATCTGCGCGAGAAGTGCGCGCGACGAAGGACCAAACAAGCGAAAGAATAATGTTTATTACGTATATCCAGAAGGGGAAAGTATTGCGGTAAAAGCATTGCAGGTGAGAATTGATAGACATCAATGGGAATTTGAACGTTGGGCTTTATTAATAGAGCATCACATCGAAAAGAGCGAGCGTGCCAAGATTATTACAAGTATATTGTGTAGTAGCTTTCGCAACCAGTTGAAAGCCGTCATGAGAAGAGCCGTATTGTCCAGTGGAATTCGCAAATAATGGCGCGATATCCGATGCCATCGGAAAAGTTTTTGCATGCTGGCACGAATGAAATAACAAAAGTACGCGTAAAAGCTCCAACAATGCTGGCATAATAGTCCTCGACTACGAACGCAAAGAGAGCGGACAAATAGAGAGGTATGATGGAGGATTTCTAATGAAAGAGCCTTGTATAACAAAGAATCTTGGAAAATCCAATATTTTTTGCACTGACCTCGTTGTAGGGGTAAACAAACGGCTCGTAAAGGCAGTTGGACAAATCAGTCATCTCCTATTCGGTCTGCGCATCCACATACTACACCGTTGCCCAACACGTGGACGATTGCACGCCGAGGACATGGTAATAAACATGTCGAGCCTGATGCCGTTTCCGGGCAATTCAAGCTCCAATCGTGCCGCTCGCTTGCGCACAATGGTATGGGTATGCGATTCATCACATCCACTTGAGCCGACGCCTATGTCTCGCAAAATGCCGACAGATTAACACAGTTATGGCTCTTTTTTGTGCCTGTAATTGCGGCTTTGTTCTTTATTTTTTGCGGACAGTTTTTACTTTTAAAAATGAATTCAAGAAAGAGGTTCGTCTGTCGAAGCACATTTATAAGCAGCAATATCTTCGTGTGCAGAACGCTTTGCGTTTTGCACGTTTTCTTTTTCTCAACGTGTTCGTATAGATTTAGTGGACTAATCTCATTCACGGCCCGCGCAGATTTACGACCAGCAGACTGTCAAGACAACGACTTAGATAAGTGCATTTCTTGAATTATCGACCTGAACAAATGTATGTCGCTTTTGTTCTTTTTATTTTCTTTTTATTTAGTATTTTATTTATTTATTTGTTTATTTCAGCTTTGAACTGAACATTTATGTAAAACTTATATCATCACTGCTTGCAGATCGGAAGCCTGAAGGGCTGTTGAAGGATTGTTTTGGAAATTAAAATAGTTTTCTCGTAAATACTTTTCACGCTTTCACATCGTGGGAAACTTCGACAAAGTAATAATCGATAACTGTACGAATATGATAACTAATTGAAATGAAATGGTTTGCGGCACTCGGAGTTTGAAGCAAGTGAACGAGATTTTGCTCAACCGGGGCGCGGAAAATCAGCTGAATGTGAAATATGTAAGAGTAGGAAGTGTGATTGTCGTTAAACAAGTCACTAATAAGTCGCTTAGCGTCTGGCTTTCCTTGAGAAGGGAGACAAATGCCGAATTTTATCAGCTTTATTAAAAGTAGTCTTATCAGCAAGTTGGAAAGTGCATAAAAAAACATAGATTTTTACAGCTCCGATTTATTTGGCTATCGTTTCAGTAAAACAAGTTTCACTAAAGCCACAGGAAAGCGAGTGCGGGTAAAAATAAATCTAAGCAAGCCGTGCGATACTCTGTACATAAATAAAGTGCTCTCGGAGTTGTAGCTTACGTATATACACGAATTTACCAAGTTATCTTACCTCTTTCTCGGTGTAATACGGGTCAGTTGGAAATTTCTTTTTCTTCGATTTTGGTTGTGGAGTGGCGGTCGATACGAAAATCGAAAATAATTCGGTTTGAAAAAAAATTGGCCGTGTGTTAGTTGCTGTTTCGTCGTTGTCCTTTGAATCAGTTAAAAATTGGAAGTTCACCTCAAGAGAAGCAGACTCTCGTCAAGTTCAAATGTGAGTTGAATAGGTTAACTACAGCAGGCACGTACAATTAAGCCAATTGTTGTTTCGCGTCGCTAGCAGAACCGCAGTAAGCAATTCAATTATGGATATCGTATATTGAATTCTGTCGCTGCTCTATATCGATTATGGCCATGCTGTGATTGATTGTTCATCAGTCACTTGTTTTTTGTACGAATTCATCATCGATATTATAAATTGATTTTCGTTTTCGATTGTATTGCTTTCAACGACGTCAAATCAACCAAGACAACCGCTTCGATAGGCGGCGAGCAGTTAACTTATTAGTCCGGCACAGCTCACCGACAAAGTGACAAGTGCGAAGATGTAAATAGTGATTTGCGCTTGGAGTAGGCGGAAAAAATCAATTATTCGCATAATCGTAAAATAAAAATTAAAAGTATTATTAATCGATATAATATAATGAATATATTTTGTAGCTTTATTTGAAAATTTGATCTTTTGCTGTTTTACTTCTGAATCGTCATTACAATCTCCATTTCATAGGATTTTAACGTGAAAATAAGGGTAGGTAAGAGCAGTCCGCACTATTTTCATTCTCCAATTCATTCTCAATAGCACAAATAAGTTATTCGAGAGAGTTATTAGTGAGATCTTGTGAGAACATATAAGCTCTGGAGAAAGATGATTTGTTCCTTGAAAGGATGGCATATACTTTTGTGGAAAACATCTCTCTCTCTCTTAATTTGTTTTGTAGTTAAAGACTGCTTACCATGCAGCTTTGAATACTCGAACAATGAGCTATTTTGTTCGAATAATAAAATCAATGTACACTGAAATTTTGCCATGCTAACTTGTTGACACTTAAGATTTTCATATATCCTCTTTATATCTTTGTATTGAAAGGATCAATTGTGCTTTAGAAATGCAAACCTAATTCATGGCAGAGGAAAAATAAAAGGAAACACGCCTCGGTTAGTCATTAGCAAATGTCCACGTAGCCGAGCACAAGACCAGACCAGATTGATATTATAGCTTCGATGATGTGTTATCGGCAGCAAGATTGCGGCACGGCGACTCTCTTCCTACGTGATAACTTGTCAAGAGCGAGCACTTTACGAGCTTTGCCAGCCCTCGCCGTCATTGATGAAGGTATTGCACTACTGATTGGGGCGTGGGAGCAGTTCTTTACGTTTTCCTTGTCAGTCAGGCATACGCAGCTGGAGCTGGCAAAGTATGCGTTCCGAAGCGAGCTTAATTTAGTATTTTAACGTTGCTAAGCTCTTTGAACGCAGCCGGCTCAGTTTCTCGTTCGCGTGGCCGACAACCTTTTGACGCTCAGTCTGGAGCTGCATTTGGTATTTGCGTTTTTTCCAGAGAACGCGCTGTACGTTGTAAGCCGGCGCGCTTCATTTCCTAGTTCAACTGAACCAGACCAGCCATCATTCCAAC